AATACTGACATTTCAGTAGGAGTGCACCAAAGTACACGAGAGGGATATAGAAGCAACTAAACTCAACAAAGAGTAACAGTATCACAAAACGCTCAGCTAGCAACAAAGAACTTAGTTAAACATAAGATAAGGATCTATTGCACTTCCCCACACAGTAAGATAGAAAAATTTTCACAAATTTTCTTTTACTGAAATAATTCAAAAACTTCTATTACTCATTTAGTTGTAATAAGCAATAAAAATCAATTATTGTGCACCTACTCAGCGGGAATTGGTGTGGTTGGGAAAATGGGGAGAGAAGATCAATCCCATAGTGGGATTGTGGTTGGAACATTTGAAAACCCTTAACAGCTGCATTATGGACAATTTTGTAAACCATGATGTTTACAAAATACATTTCTTAAAAATTATAAAGAAAACTAATTAATATCCTTCTCATACTCTTCCAGAGAGTTGAAAATACAGGAAACTTTTTAATCAGTTTTCATAAAACTAATAGATATTGGATATCAAATCAGAAAGAGTCATCATTAAAATAGAATCTATAGATAGGTAATTTATATATAGTTTACATCACAAAAAAGAAAATTATAGATATATAGACAGAAAACTGTATATATGCATATATATACACATTTTGCCTTACAAAACCCCCAAATTAGGATAGTCCCCTGGGCAAAACAATGGGTTTTAGAGAAAACTAGGCAAGGAAATGGGAGAAAAGAATACACGATGGCAAACAAACGCGAGCCCAGGAAATACTAGAAATGTACCGTTTCAGTTCTTTTAGAACAGAGAGCAGCACAGTCAACAACAGAATAGGAAATTGTCATGAGTTTATACTTTAAGGATGCCTTCTGATTGGTTGTGTGAAACATCTCAGCCTTGTGACCTAATGAACCCATTGAATTTTGATGTGCGATGTCATTGTGTGTTTGTCTCCTTGTGTGTTTCATTTTCTGCAATCAACCCCTTCTGGACAGAGGACAAAGGTGCCAATATGACTGGCATTACAGTGGTACACTGCCACATATATAAGGTGTATTTTTTTCCAGGGATGCAGGATTTGTTTAATGCACAAAATCAATTAACATAGTATGCCATATCAATTCATGGAAAAATAAAACCATGTGACCATATCATTGCAATAAGCTTCAAGTTCAAACTAAAATTTAGTGCAATAATGTTTTAGATGTCAAAGCTGAAACTTAGTTATATAAGTGACAAAAGACCATATACTAAATTTTATTAAATCATTTTAATTTCCTTATTTACAAAGGTTAAAAATGCAGTAATTGAACACTGTAAACTGCCTTTTTTGAATTATCTTTTGATAATACCATTTGCCATTTCATAAGTTTTGTTGGAGGTGTGTTGTATGCCTTCCAAGGTGGGAGGTTGGGGGACGGCAGGACCCTGGTCTGGTGGGATTGATGTTGCAAACTTATATGCCTGAAACAGTGCTAATATGGACAATTTTATAAATCATGGTGTATTAATAAAGAAAAAAATGAAATGTAGAGAAATAATTTGACAAGATCAAGTAGCCATTCATAATAACAAAAATCTCAAAAAATGGGGAGGGAAGAAATTTTCCTCAAAAGATTAAAGTCATTACTCACAAACCTACAGTGAACATCATACCCATTAGTGATAAACCAAAAATTTCTTCTTTCGGATCCAGCACAAGGTAAGGTTGCTGCACTCATTAATATTATTTAATTTACCTAAAATAATTTAAATATTATTTAATTAATATTATTTAATTTATTATTTAATTTACATTGCCCTTAGCAAGAAATTAGGCAATAAAAAGACATTAACGGGGCACAGATTGCAAAAGAAAATGTTGAATTGTCACTCTTTTTGGATGGTATAATACTATACTTAGAAATAACTAAAGTATATGAAAACTCCTATAAATAAAAAATAATACCACAAAGTGATAGTCTACAATATCAACACAGAAACCTATGTTATTTCTATATGCAAACAGTGACAGAGATCAGGGAAAAATTAAAATATCAATTATTGTCATATCTCAAAAAGTCATGTATCTGGTAATCGGCTTCATAAAAGTGGCAGAATACACAGAAACTGTTAATAACTTATTAAAGAAATAAAAAATGAAATAAGGAAATATAAAACACATTTCCTAAATGTTGATCAGAAGGATTAATACTAACAAAAGGACAATTCTATCAACGTCTTATATTGATTCAATGCAGTCCTATAAAAATACCTGAAACATTTTAGACTTAGAACAAATCTTGTTGAAATTTATATATTTTATTTCATCTCAATCTTTAACCATATATTTACGCATTATACATACCAATGCAGTACTTTAATGACTATACATCAAGCCAGTTTCCGTTTGAAGCTATTATAATATTGTTCCAACTTTCTTAAATTGTTTCTTAAATGCCCCATTTGGGACATATAATGTTTTGAAAGATTGCTACTAGTGGTTGTCACTAGTGGTGGATTTGATGCTGGAATATTATATAACTAAAACTCAAATAAGTATAAGTTTGTAAATCTTAAATGTTTTAATCAAATAGATATTTTATTTTAAACTTTATATAATTGTGTTATGATTTATTATCCATGAATATTTGATTTGCATGCTTATTTTAATTGGAGTCATTTAAATTTTTTCAGGCACAAAGAGGTTGTGTATGAAAAAATCTCCTTCAAGAGGCTCAAGAGACAATGAATAAAAGGTAGACTTTTCTTTTTGTGGAAAAAGAGTTCAGGAGCACATTCAACTCAGGAAATAAAAGACATGCTGGATGACATTTGCAGTTTTCCAGCATAAAGGAGGGGAATTGATGGTCTTAATAGAAAATACATGGGAACAACAAAACTGTTGTGTAGTTAGCTTGTAATTTGGCATTCATGAGTAAAATGACATTCCACATTTCTAAATGCTGTTTTGGAATAGAAAGCAGAAGATGGAAGAATTTTAAATTTATATACATACACAATAAGCATGGAAATTTAGAAGAACTGTAACACTGTACCACTGTCCTCCCATTGTTCATCGATCTGCTCTAGTGGGCAACAGTAACGTCTCCATTGTCAGACTTGTGTTACTGTTTTTGGCATATTGAATTCGTCATTGGGAGCTTGCCAAGCTTTGCCATGCGGGTGAGATACTATCGGTAGCTTGCCAGGCTCCCCAAAAGGGACAGAGGAATTGAACCCGGGTTGGCCGGATGCAAGACAAATTCCTAGCCATTGTGCTATCACTCTAGGCCATATTAGAAGAATTATGTTATAAAAATACTTAATAGAAAGATATAAACATTAACTTGAATCAAAACAAATTTTAGATGAAGAATAGGAGATAAAACAGAGAGCAATAGTAGCACTATCAAAATTATTTTTGATTATAAATTACAGCATAACACATTGGAATAACATATCAATGAATTTGAGATTTAAAGCACTCTTTTAAAAATATATATATGTCCACATCTCTACTTTTAATTAGCATTATTGATATAAATTATTCCAATATACAAAATGTGTATATTTATTACAAATCAAAATGTGAAAATATGTTAAAATATATTATTTTATTATGAATTTAAACAGCATATACCCTATAATTTTTATTTATTTATTTATTAGTGAAACACCATGAGGTAAAGTTATAGACTTACAAATTTTTGTGCTTGAGTTTCAGTTATACAATGATCAAGTATCCATCCTTCCACCAGCTCCCATCCTCCACCACCACGGGTCCCAACATCCCTCCCACCTCCCATCCCTCCCATCCCACCCTGCCTCTGTGGCAGGGCATTCCCCCTTGTTCTCTCTCTTTTCTTTTGGGTCCTGTGTTTTGCAAGAGAAGCATTGAGTGGGAATCATGTTTGGTCTATAGTCTACTTTCAGCATGCTTCTCCCACCCTGGGAGGATCCTCATAGTACCCTTTATTTGGTGCTCTCTTCTCTATCTGAGCTTCCTTTTCCCCTAGCACATGTGGCTGGCCTCCAAGTCGTGGAGCAAAATTCCTGGTACTAATCTCAGCCACTCCTGCATGTTAAGTCTCCCATTTTGTTGCTTTATGTTCCCCAAACGAATGCAATCTTTCTGTGTCTATCCCATTCTTTCTGACTGATTTCGCTTAACATGATACCTATAATTTTTAAACATATAAGGAAAAATCATATATTTGTCTAGTCAAGAGGAAAAACCATAAGGATCCCTACAACTCCTGTACAACAGAGATTACCTGAAATCTATAAACCTATTAAAAATAAATTTTAAAAAAATATAAAATTGTATAATTGGTATCTGACAAAAAACTTCATTGCCACTTTGGCTTTAGTTTTCCTGAACACATATGTGTTATTCTTATTATTATTTTTATGTACTGGGAACATTTATGCTATTCCTTAAAGCATGCAAAGAAAAATGTAATACAAACAAAAAACTAATTATTAAAAATGTTCTGTAAAATAGAAAGATCATAGTGATTTGAGTATACGATTTTGGCTCTCAAGACAAACATCCATTTACATATGACATCATCTAAAATTATTAAAGTTGCCTGCAGTATTTTAAGATTAAATTTAGAATATTTTCATTGATATACTCAATGATTTATTTCAAGAACTTGGTATAAGTCAGTTAAATTTATTATGATATTTTTTAAAATAACACAATAAATTTAACTGACTTATATAAATAGACTTTTTTTTTTTTGCTTTTTGGGTCACACCTGGCAATGCACAGGAGTTACTCCTGGCTCTGCACTCAGGAATTATTCTTGGCGGTGCTCAGGGGACCATATGGGATGCTGGGAATTGAACCCGGGTCCGCCGCATGCAAGGCAAACGCCCTCCCCACTGTGCTATCACTCCAGCTCCTAAACTTTACATAAATAAAGGTAGAAAGAAAATACATAAACACTTATGTATTTTCAGGAGACCAAACAGAATTAGCAAAATCAAACAAATTAAGAACAATTAAAAAAATAAGCACTTACCCATATCTTGCAAAATTTGCCCAGTGTTTCATCATGAACCTACTCAATATTTCCTCAGGTCTTGTATAATTAGCTTCTCTCTCCAGAGGTAAGCCAAATACAAATTCAATTTCATAACCATGCATGACTCCCATCCATTCTGGCCAAGGAATTTTGGAGGATCGGTGATCAAAGTAGTAGAAAAAGGCATCATTTCCTAATTCAGAAAACTTTTTGGTGAACTCCAAAGCAGGGCAAATGAAGTTATAATCCCCCAAAACATCATCCAGGGCTTCCCGGTAATTCTCAGGTCTCTGATCATCTATCCAGTCTATATAATGGAAAAGAATGGATTCCTTTCCCAATTCATCCACTTTTGGAAACAGCATTTTTAAACCTTTCTCAAACTCTTTTCTAGTTATTATACTGTTATTATCTTTGCTGATGCCAGGAGCACCATATACTAAAAACGCTGTCCCTTCATCTTTATTAACACCAACCAAGATCTGAGTTTTTTTCAGTTGTCCAAGTTGGAGTAGTGTATTCGGCATGTCAGTGAGGAAGTCACCATCAAGAGTAGGTCCAAAATATATTGACAAGAGTGTATGATAGGGAACAACAAATATTTCATTTAAAAGAATTTCGCGGGGGTCTTTATTTCTAAGGCATTTGATTATTTCAGTCTCATTTTCTCTAAAACAGCCAACAAATTTAGCCAGGGTCAAAGTTCTGTTCTTAGCTTCATTCAGAGGCATGACAGCCCATGGGGCATTAGAAGATCCACTTTGCAGAATAGCTCTGGTAAACAACGGGTGGCTTCCTGGAGAGAGCAAATGAAGGCCGACTGAACCTCCCCCTGCACTTTCCCCGAAAAGAGTTACACTTCTAGGATTGCCACCAAAAGCGGCTATATTTTTTTGCACCCACTGAAGTGCCAGTTGTTGATCAAATAAACCCATGTTTCCTGGAGCTTCAGTATTTCCCGGTAAAGCTAAGAAGCCTAGAGCACCCACTCTGTAGTTCATTGAAACCACAATAACTCTTTCAACACGAGCCAGAAACTTGCCGTCGTAAACATTCAATGACGCTGTTCCAGTTTGAAAACCACCCCCATAAATCCATACCATTACAGAAGCATTTTTTGGCTTAGGTGCTGGAACCCACACATTCAGATACAGGCAATCTTCACTGAGGTCTGTGTTTGGATTCCACATCTCTGATCCAGGGAAGCCTGGGAAACTTTGATCTATGTTCTGATAGCAGGAATTTGCATATTGTGTGGCATTCCAGATATCCGACCACTTGGAAAAAAATTGTGGTTTTTTGAAGCGAAGATTACCAAGGGGTGGTTGTGCATAAGGAATTCCAAGAAATGCTGATACTGTGCCTCCAAGAACGGGCAAACTAATCCCTCGAACTTTTCCATTCTTTGTCGTAATGATGATATCTTCTTCACAATGTGTCTTCTCGATAAACACCCAGAGCAGAAGAAATCTCAAGAGGAACTGGATACATCTGTTCGTACCCTTGTTCTGCATACCGATTTCTGAAAGACATGTAAGAATTTTAGCAGTACCACACCTAAAATATTACATTTTATTGAAAATAAAACTAAAAATTGGTAATTCTAATTATATAAATTTAGAACATACATAATAACTAGAATGAAAAATTAGGTGTTATTTTATTTTGAAAGTATTAAATCCCAAAATTAGGTAAGGAAGGCATAATATAGTGATGGCATCTGGTGGGAAGTGTTTGGGGTACACCAAAGATACCCCTAATGGTGCTCAGGGAGACATAAGAAATGTATGTGTATATATCATTTCTGTGCCGAAATTCTGCACAAACCCACACCAACATTAAAAGTGGAATTTAAGATAGACTACTTAATTTAATTTCAACCTTGATTAAAGGAGGAAATTCAAGCTCATGTATTCTGAGACAAATGCAAAGCTCCAATCATGACTGATTCTTAATAAAACTGTGCAACAGCTTTATAACATTTCTGAGTACTTAAACTTATATCACTTTGTTGTTATTTTTTCTTAGTTATTTGCTCTTCACTACAAAGATTATGATCAAAAAAGTTTTTTAATACACTGTACATAGAATATAAATCAATGAAGATATAGTAATTATTTAGACTTTAAGCTGTGAAAACTAACAATTTTTCTACCACTTTATATAAAGGGCTATGTACATATGGAGGAAATGAAGAATGTGTGTAGATACTCTACAATTTATATGAAAGTATAAATGACCAAGAGCTTCTTTCACTGGATTAAAACGTGAAAAATGAGAACAATTTTCTAATTATATATTGAATAGGGTCTGGAGCCATCGCACGGCAGCCAACCCAGGTTCGATTCCTCCGTCCCTTTCGGAGAGCCCAGCAAGCTACCAAGAGTATTCCGACTGCACGGCAGAGCTGGCAAGCTCCCCACGGTGTATTTGATGTGCCCAAAACGGTAAGAACAAGTCTCACAATGGAGACATTACTGGTGCCTGCTCGAGCAAATCAATGGACAATGGGAGGACAATGCTACAGTGCTACAGTGCTATGTTGATCACAAGAAACTGACAGGAATTTTATTTTCAGGAGTTATTTGAAGGACATCTGTTAGTTAGTTAATGTTATTTATTGAGACTGTTAGGTAGGTCAGATTTATATTTTGTAGTGTAGAAAATGAGTACAACAGATAAAAGCTGATAAATAACTGAAAAATATAGTAAACCACTATTAAATCTTTGAAAACTACAAAATTCCAGCTATTAACAATTTATGGCATTGCCAATTTATTTGAAGAACCGGAATTTAACCAAAATTTAACCTGCACAATTGGTTTTCATTTTAAATTAAAAAAACAGACAAAATTGTATCAATCCATGACAGAGACATATATTATGCAACAATCATTTAAAATAATGACAACCTTCAAGTCATCTTAAGTAAACATGGTTATGAAAACATCATAGAAGAATACTACTAGCATTCACATAATAATAGCAATGGTTCATAAATATATATACTATTAATATGCATTCAATCCTATGTCCCAAAAGAGTATCCTACCTAGAGCTACATTATTTAATTTATGTTTTAATGCAAACTTTTTGAAGGACAGAAAACAAAACATTCTGACATCTTCGATTTAGTATACTCATATTTTTATATCAGCCTTATTCACTAATATTCACAGGAAAGCTAGTAATAATTTTTAATGTTGCTACTGAACAGTATGTTGTTCAGTGCCCAGTAAAGACAGATATATTTCTACCTCTGTAATTATTTCTGCCTTTACCTATATCTCTACCTCTACTACCTCTATATTTGTCTCTACCTCCATCTTTATAATTATCTGTCTCTATCCACATCTATTTCTCTGTTACCAATCTGTTTTATGCACATGACTAGCTAGCTAGCTAGATAAATAGATATGAATCTATTTCAATATGAATATGAATTGATGCATAATATTTTATATAATGCTTGTTAGAGTAATATGTTTTGGGTCGTTGTTAGCTTAAAAATGGTATTAAAATTGTCTGACAATTGTAAGAAAAACATATCACACTATAAGAAAAGGATAAAATAATTGATTTATAATTTTTGATATTTCATTATTTGCCATTACTGAATTTCAACTAAAATTGAAAATAATGAAATAATGGATCAACTGAAGTTCTTTTTTTTTTTTTTTTGCTTTTTTGTTTCACACCTGGCTATGCACAGGGGTTACTCCTGGCTCTGCACTCAAGAGTTACTCCTCCTGGCAGTGCTCAGGGGAACATATGGGATGCTGGGAATCGAATCTGGGTCGACCGTGTGCAAGGCAAATGCCCTACCCGCTGTGTTATCTCTCCAGCCCCACCAGCTGAAGTTCTAAGAGCTAATCAAGTATTTATAAAATTTTCAAGTATAGATAAATTTTTGTGCCTTTTACAAACTTGTAAAAAATGCATTCCTTTATTATAACAATAAATACTCTTACAATGGTAGAAAAAAGAGTGTAGTCTGGATAATAGTACCTAAAACCAGTCCTACTAAAATATATTTGAGTCACATTATAAGAACTATGTCTTTACAAGCCTAAATAGCTTGTTCTGTTGCTAGGTGAAGACCAAGTTAAGAAGTTCATTTATAAATAGATGATATCACTGTCTTTTATAATTCTTCAGATACCCACTATACCGATTATAAAGATAACATATTTTATATTAGGTGTAGAAGTAGAATGCATTTATCTGTCCTCTCTGTCAGGGAAAATAAAACAAAACTTTTCATTGAAAAGTAAATCAAAATTTTAATATTATATAAATTGTGCATATGAATAGTGAATTTTTTCTTAGACATTTATTCAATGATAAATTTTCTAATGACTTGGATTCTTTATAAGAATAAACAAAATTATATACAGAAGTATTAAAACAGGGACACTATACAACTCAAGTGTAATGGTGTCAAAAAATAGCTATCACAATTTTTTTAAATAAAAAATTTTATAGGGGCTGGAGCCATAGCACAGTGGGTAGAGTGTTTGACTTGCACGTGGCTGTGCCCAGGATTGATTCCCAGCATTTCACATGGTCCTCCGAGCACTACCAGGAGTAATTCCTGAGTAAAAAGCCAGGAGTAATCCCTGTGCATCGCCTGGTGTGACCCAAAAAGCAAAAAAACAAAAAAAAAACAAAAAACAAAAAAACAAAACCAAATAATAAATAAAAATTTTATAAAGAAGGAACTAAATTTGGAAAAAGGAAGTTGCTGATTATTATTAGCACATTTAAAAACTGATTGTGGATTAGATCCGATAGTCTTCCAACTTAAGCTTGGGGATATAAAAATAAGAATAAATCTAAGAAAATAAAACAGAATTATTGAACTCCAATTAGAAATTCTGATATTTAAATGGCCATGCTTTTTCAAATTCGCAAAGATTTAAACTCATTTTAATTTAACATATAGAGCTACTCTTTAAAAAATCAAATTTGTCCTTAAGCTACATATGACATATAATTTTATTTACTATAATTATGAAATAGCTTATTTAATGGAAATAATTATAATATTATTCCTAACTGGATTAACTATCATGTATATAATTAAGATATAATTTTAAAAATTTACAAATATAAATCATCAGCAATAAAACAGTTTTGTTTACACTTCAGTGTACCTTCATTATTCACAGATCTTATGTTAAACGCTTAACTTGGTTATAGAATCTATAAACGAGAACTGATACCAAAATAAAGATAGGTTAAGACTACAGAAGGAAAAGAAAGTTTATATTTGCTTCTATTTCTCTAATAAAATTCATGGCAATTATAAATATTTAGCTCAAATCTACACACACACACACACACACACACACACACACACACACACACAGAATAAGAACAAAATGTCCAAAAGGGGTAAAAGTTTGCAAATCAAATTAGGAAATAGGTTTTCCCTTTAGGTAAAAAAGAAACTCAGGCATTTTCTAAAAATAAGGGAACTATTCATCTCATGACAGTTGCAATGCAAAAGACAAGGGAAAATCAGAGTAAGGCTGGTCAAACATAACTTTAGTTTCTTTGCAGGGGTCATTAAGTAACGCGCTGGAGGGTGAAGCTCTGCATACTCTGCATATGTTGCCTCTTCCCTGGAGAGTGCACTGATGCCACAGTGATCGCAGTAATCCCGCAAGCGCGGGTGTCCTTTTTTTGTACAAAGTGCAATAAATTGCTTAATACTCGACGGTTAAATGGAGTCCGTTTGCGTTTTCCTCAGTAAGACTCTATGCATGTGCTGCTCTCTGGCTTTGTCCTGTTTGCAATCACCGTCCCCCACTGAGCACCACAGGGTACAGCAAACACTGGAAGGGATCCTAGTGCTCCAGAAAGAGTAACACAGTGATACGCATATTTACACGAAGATGTAAATTCAGAGAACTTACCCCGACTCACTGTGGCAAAGATGGTAAAGTTTGTAAGCAGCAGCAGCAGTCATGTAAGACCTCAGGGAAATGCAGAATGCAGCGGCTGCTCTTGCTGCGAGCTGGACCGCACTGACATTCCAAGCAACTGTCCTGACAAAGCTCGCGAGAGCCGGCAGCAGCGGCTGGGGCCAGGGACAGCCCATCTCTCACTTCAGACATCTGTTCAGAGGCTAACGAGATGAGTGCAAAAGTGACTCATTTACAAAAGCACCCCTAGATTTACCTCTTCACACATGCAAGGGCTACCCTGAGTGTAAAGAAGAGACAGTCGAAGCTTATATAACACAACCTCACACTAGACAATAGAAGCTTGTTTGACAGAACAAGCACTTGAAAAAGGAAAGTACTAGAACTCAAGGTTTTTTTCCATTATAAATATACGTTTTTGTTCTGCTGATGAAAATCAAAGGATTAGTTATAATACAGTTCTCTCTAAATAAATGTCTCTGATACAGATGTCCTTTGGAATGCCACACCCCAATACTAACATTAAGTCTTATAAATCTCATCATCGGTAAATACTTATTAAAGGGCCCTGCAGTTAAGTGGGTGTAATAAGAAGCCACAATTTTCTTCTTAGATAAGGAAAATACAATGACTACTGTTGGCCAAACATTATGCATTTACCTGCAGGAATTGGGCAATCAGTCGGGCAATGACAAACTAGTTACACAAAAGTTATAGTTTCCATGTTTCTGTTTAGTTGACATTCTGTGAGCCACATAAAAAAAGAGCTAATAGTTTTATTATTCAAATGTCAAAATTCACTGCAACAACTAAACTGCATTTATTTCTGGGTTTGTATGCTGCATATAGTTTACCTTATTCAAAATCTTATGCATATGTTCTTGTGTGTTATAGAAAATTAGAATATAAAATCCATAATCTCACATGTATACGTAATATGCTGAAACAGATCTTCAATTCTGCAGTTAGTGAGGAATGGGTGTTTTGTTGTGAATTCACATTTATGTTCCTATTAAGTACTCATTCACCACTATGTAAAATATATGACATACTTCATATAATCTTTAAATAGAAGGTGTACAATACAGTAAACTGCTACTAAGTTATTTATGTCTAAGTACATGCTGTTTAAAATGTTTTGACAAGCAATATAAACTGATTACAAAGCCTCACCAACTTTTCCTCAGCTCAATGTTTTGATTCAGCCAACCTCCTTCAGCAAATATACCTTTAGTTTATCTTTCTCCTGACTTCTCAGTTATACCACATTATTTGATGCCTTAATTAAGTTGGTGTTTAAATCATTGGTGTTTTCTAATTTCTATTTTTTCTTTTGTTACACAGTGTACAGTGGTTGCATCATTTCTGCGCTATCATTTTTGCACATATATGCAACCAAAGGGTGATACATAAGTGTTGTTTCATTATCTGGCACCTGAAAGGTTAATATATGGTGCTAATCATTACTGAAAATGTTTTCTAAGTGAAATATCACAACAACAAAGCATTAGCAAGCTCAGATTTTGCAAACATGTTATAGAAACTTAGGTATGACAACTCTGTTGGATCTTTACTTTATGATCATTTTCAGATAGTTTATCATGGAGAGTTTAACCACTTTTATTGTAATGTGATCACCAAAGAACTGATTGTTTCCTGGATACAATATCTTTTTCTATAAAGTTGTATTCAGGTACATAAGATAATATGTCATATCTTGATTCTTAATGACGTAATCTGAAATTTCTGTATGTGTGGTGGGGGGGTGAAGAGGGAAGGGTGCATAGACCAAGCTTACTCCAGTGCTCAGAACTTACTCCTAGCTGTGCACTCAGCTACTACTCCTTCCCAGGCTCGGGAACCCTAAGTGGTGCTAGACATCAAACTTGGGTTGGCTACATGCCAGGCAAGTGCCCTATATGCTGTACCAACTTTCTGGCCCCTAATCCATAATGTTGTCACTGTAACTGTCCTCCCGTTGTTCATCAATTTGCTCGAGCGGGCCCAGTAAAGTCTCCATTGACAATTGTTACTGTTTGGCATATTGAATACATCACGGGTAGCTTGCCAGGCTTTGCCGTGCGGGTGAGATACTCTCGGTAGCTTGCCGGGCTCTCTGAGAGGGGCAGAAGAATTGAATTCAGGTTGGTCATGTTGGCTGCTTGCAAGGGAAACACCCTACCCGCTGTGCTATTGCTCCAGCCCATCCATAATGCTATCATGCAAAATTACATTAATAAAATAAAGTATAAGTCCAACGTTAATTTTGTATTATACGTTACTTGTCTTTAAACTTAAAACTAAAATTCTCTGATAAAATTTCAGAGGTTAACAAACAGCAGAACTTAGGGTTAACTCCTAGCTCTGTGCTCAAAGATCACTCTGGTAGTACTCAGGGACAATATGTGGTACTGGGGCTCAAACTAGGGTTGGTTCAGTCGGGCAATGACAAATTAGTTACACAAAGGTTATAGTTTCCGTGTTTCTGTTTCTTTCACAAAACAAGTAACTGACTCCCTGTACTATCTTTCCAAGCCCCTGATAATTTATTAGTTATTTTCAAGAAGTGTACTCACTAAGGAAAATTTGAACTACAAAACAGATGTATATTTCTATTTTTTACATACTCTAAAGACTTCAAATATCAATTGATTATTTAATTCTGGTTTTATTATGAAGTTCAAGCTACATAAGAAATATATAGCAATAACCAAATAGACCATCACAATTGTTTTTACATACATTAGTATTAAAGTATTTTAATGTCATTATACATTATTGAGACTATATTAATTGTATAATTTATTCTTCATGCAATTATAATTTTCCAATTTAATGTGTTTCTGAGTATTTTGAATATTACTGTGATTTAGAACTCAAACCATGCATTGCTGCCTGAGAAATAGTAGAGTGTGTGAAGTGTTAGCTTTGTGGTCAATCTAGGTGTGATTCCTGGTTTCCCCGAGACCCACCAGGAATGATTTCTGAGCACAGAACCAGGAACATATCCTGAGCCCACCAGGTTATAAAACAATAACAACAAAAAATGATAATACATAAATAAAATCCAGACCATGTTTTAAGTAAACATCATTATTATTCTTATATTAGACCTGAGAAAATTTGATGACTAGGAATTTAAATAACCTGTCAGAAAAAAAGGATCAGAGAGAAAATACAATATTTGTCAGAAATAGCACCAGAGAATAAAAATAATAAAATGCTTAACTTGTATGCAGCCAACAACCCAGCTTTATCTGTGGTACTGCCTAAGGCTCCGGGAGCAAAAACAGAAATGATAACAGAGAACAGAGTTTAAAGAAACTCCTGAGCACAGAGTCAAGAGGAAGCCTTGAGCACTGCTCCCCAGCCCTCCAAACAAATAAATTTTTCCAACTTGGATTAATGTTAACATTCGATTCTCAGGGAAAAAAAATTGGCATCTGATTAAATCACAGCCCATCACTGTTTTCCCATTGTTCTCTGATTTGCTCGAGCAGGCCCAGTAATGTCTCCATTGTGACAATTGTTACTGTGTTTGGCATATAGAATACGTCACAGGGTACGGGCGAGATACTCTCAGTAGCTTGCCAGGCTCCCCAAGAGGGACAGAGGAATTGAACTCGGGTCGGCTATTTTGGCTGCGTGCAAGGCAAACACCCTACCCACTGTGCTATGGCTCCAGCCACCGATTAAATCAATGTAAGTAAAATTTAGATATCCACTATCCTGTGCCACATCTTTGGCTTTTGGTTTTATAGACTTAGGGATAAATCATTTAAATCAGCTTCCTATGTATGATTGAGCTGGGGAAATTATACTGTCTATTCTTACTAAAGATCTTGTAAACAAAAATACATTAAAGAATCTGTTATCTATATAATTTTTATCTAGACTAACTTCTCACTGACCTGTCTCCAAATCTTAAAGGATATTTGTATACATTGTGTGTTTGATGTTAAATTATATATAGTTATTGATTGAGAGAAAGATCAAACACCAGGCCCTCTTGAAAAATTCATAATAATGGTTATACTGTCCATGTAGAGTTGAATATAGTTTACCAGTTTTATCACAAAATTTTCAAGGAATGAAATTCCATCCCTTTATCCTGGAATTCATTAAATCAGTGATTAAAACTGAAATCCCCAACGTTCTTTTACTCATTATGCATCACTATTCTAACTTACTTTCCCTTGCTATAATAGAGTGAGAGTTTGGATTTAAAAAAAATCTCTTCAAGTTACTAGCATAAGAATAAATATGGTGTGTGTGTGTGTGTTGTGTGTTCATTTTCTTATCACCAAACCTTGTCTTTCATGTATTAACCTCCAAGAAGCAAGCACCTGCCATGGTTTGTATAACAGTGTGAACTCTTGCTCCTCAGAAATTTCTTAACCTCCCAGTGAGCTTTATTTACATTTATCACCTCAAAGTTAATAAAATATTTTGAGAGTAACTCTTAATATACTCACTTAGCAATTTTTAAATACACAATCCAGTATTATGAGAATTATACAATCCAATATCATGAACTATATTCTCATCGTCAATACTTTTATTGTTGGAGTACACAGATCTTAGGTTTATCAGGTTGCACCTATCACAGTGCTCCAGAATCACTCCCATTACTTTGTCTGTCTGTAACCACTTCTATGCTCTCTTCCCCAACCAATTTGTAAGGTCTCATCCTTCTTGGACACTGAAGCTGTACTGTAAGTAAATATTGCCTTTCTCCTCTTCTTATGTCTTTTGAATAGTTTACTTTAATGCAATGTCCTTTTTGTATAGATACAGGAAGACAATTAATTAATATTATGCTTGAGCGATAGCACAGGGCTGGAGCAATAGAACAGCGGGTAGGGCGTTCGCCTTACACGCGGCCAACATGGCCGACCCGAGTTCGATTCCTCCGCCCCTCTCGGAGAGCCCGGCAAGCTACCGAGAGTGTTCGATATGCCAGACACAGTAACAACAAAGTCTCCAATGGAGACGTTACTGGGCCCGCTCGAGCAAATCGACGATCAACGGGAGGGCCTTTTTTTTATGCTTTGTAACATAGGAGTTGATTGGCTTTGAATATTATTCACTCCTGGGCATCTGCTAT